ACGTAGAGCAAATGCTTACCTACAAAAGAGAAGGATTGGTAAGGTAGATGCTTGGGGTTGATGGTGGACCTAACGAGTATGGCAAGCTTTGGACTAGACCTCTGCTGGCAGCCTGCTATGAGCAATGGCAGATGTAGCTGCAAACCTAATGGGAGAACCATTTTGCAAAGTTTAAAAGTGAATCTATCAGCTTTCAATCTGTTACTATTCTGAAAATGCATATTGATTGGCTAACAGAGACCCTCTTGATTCAATACTTGCTGAACCAACTGGACAGGTTTCAAATTCAAAATTTTCAAATATAAATACAAATTCCAGGCTAGTGAGGCGCCTCTTATATACAACACTTCCTTTTACATTGAAATCCATGCAAGCCGCTACTCACATAGCTGAAATATATATATGGGTTTTATCCTCCAAGGGGTTTGATATAGGCACTCCTGCCAGACCACACAGGTAGCTTCTTGTTAAAGCAGCGCTGGTGCATTGGAAGAACAACCCACCCCCCAGCCAGATGACTGGACAACAGACTAGGCTGGAGGGTGGGAGGGGGTGTTCACACAACCCCAGTCAGCTGACTGAACAACCAATTAGGTTAGGGGAGTGTACACATACCGCCAGTCAGCTCACTGGACAACCAGTTAGGCTGGGGGACTGTTCACACACCCCCCCTTCCAGGTGACTGGACAACCAGTTAGGCTGGGGGACTGTTCACACACCCCCTTCCAGGTGACTGGACAACCAGTTAGGCTGAGGGACTGTTCACACACCCCCTTCCAGGTGACTGGACAGTTAGGCTGGGGGACTGTTCACACACCCCCTTCCAGATGACTGGACAACCAGTTAGGCTGAGGGACTGTTCACACCCCCCCCCCCCCTTCCAGGTGACTGGACAGTTCACACATCCCCTTCCAGGTGACTGGACAACCAGTTAGGCTGAGGGACTGTTCACACCCCCCCCCCCCCCCCCCTCCAGGTGACTGGACAACCAGTTAGGCTGGAGGAGTGTTCACACCCCCCCTTCCAGGTGACTGGACAACCAGTTAGGCTGGAGGAGTGTTCACACACCCCCTTCCAGGTGACTGGACAACCAGTTAGGCTGAGGGAGTGTTCACACCCCCCCTTCCAGGTGACTGGACAACCAGTTAGGCTGAGGGAGTGTTCACACCCCCCCTTCCAGGTGACTGGAAAACCAGTTAGGCTGAGGGAGTGTTCACACACCCCCTTCCAGGTGACTGGACAACCAGTTAGGCTGGGGGAGTGTTCACACACCCCAAGAAAGCTGACTGGACAACCAATTAGTTTAGGGAAGTGTTCACATACCACCAGGCAGCTGACTGGACAACCAATCATCAGGCTGGGGGAGGGGGGTTGTTGGGGGGAGTGTTAAGCTGGCCATAGATTGATAGGATTTCAAACAAAAACTCTCAGGAAAATTTGTGCGAAAATTCACAGAACACCTGAATGTTGTTCCAAAGATTTCATCTGTCCTTAACATTTGATTTTTGAATGAATGGATTTTACTGAACGAAAGCCAAATACACTGTTAGAAATTGTTTCGTTCAAGAAAAAAATTTCCATCCTGATCCTTCAATTTTCTTTTTCATCAATGCAGTCAAAAACGTATGTCAATTTGACCCATTAATGATTTAAAAAAGGAACAAACTCTTTCCCTAAGAATTTATTTATTTTTTAAAATTCTACCCATCTATGGCCAGCTTTAGCCAGACACGTTGATAAGTTTCCTCCTCCGACCAGCAATTACAGGAGTCATATTTTAAACAAATGACACTACTACTTACACTAGTTGACTTTATATGTTTAAGTGCCAAACTTCACTTATTGCTGTCCCCGATGTCCTCCTCAAGCCAGCACTGACAGTTCTATTCAGGGCAGGAGGACACTCTACCATTCTGCTCATTTCACGTGAGCCCAGCATGTTTACAAGCACATCATCACGTAGGTTGGACTCACAGTACTCCAAAACTGAGTAACGCTCACACCTCATTATGGGAGTACTGCTCTGTTCTGGAAGAGTTCCTGGGCCCCCGCTGACACCCAGGAGAAGAGCAGAGGATGACAACACAGGACCAGCAGAAAGACTTCAAGAAAAAAAAAGTATGCATGGGGGTAGGAATCCTGCAGCTAGGCCATGTCAATTGCCGTAAGGAAGCAATTTTTGTTTTTTTTCAGTTCTCCTGTAGCAGCCTAAGAGCCTCTGTTGAAGCTGCGGGTAGATTACGTCTTTTTCTACTTCAACAGGTTAGACTTAAAGCGGTATTAAACCAGAACAAAAAAAAATGTAATATAGATGGACCGAAATTTGGCTGGTCCAGCAACAACCAGGTGAATTTCAGTCCATGTATTGCGGTCAATATATTGATCGACTTCTGTCATACAAGGATGTTGGAAAACTTTCCTTGATCAGTGGCTGCAGATGCCGATCAGTGCATATTGACAATGGAGAAGTCCTGCTGTCAGAATACAATGTCTCAGCAGGAAGGATTTCTCTGTCTACCTTGCTTGTGTGGATGGGAGAATCCGTTCCTGTTTTCTCTGATTAGCCTGCTGGCTGATTGAAAAGAAATTTGCCATCTATGGTAACTTTTAGATGAACAAAGTAGCTTAGAAAGGCTTTAGAAAAGAGACAGATGCTATAACTGTTTAATAGTTAAACGGTGTACTTTCTAGCGCTCCAGGAATCAAATGTCAAAGGGCAGGCCAAGGGAACCGGGACAAGAGTAGCCTATGGATAATGCCTCTGGGATGCAGCCCTCCTCGAATGGGGGAAACAACAACTGGAAAAAGAGCAAACAGGTGGCGCAAACACCTCAGAGCTCTGAGGAAAGGGATTCGTCCCTGAAACGCGTCAGAGCCGACCATACTGACAGTCGTAACCCCCTGCCCTTTGTTGCGGTCATCTCTATTATACAAAGCTTTACATACATGCTATGTCTGTATGTTTTCGTCTTTTCTTACTGTCAATAAATCTTGGATAATGCACTAGGTGTTTGCGGCAGCTGTTTGCTCTTTTTCCAGTTATTTAATAGTTAAGATTTAACAGTTTTTATTCTCTTTTGTAGCTAACCATAAAAACACGGTTCTAATGGTTTGTCCCAACATCTGTTCCTGTCACTTCAGCTGGACAGCTTGTCCTTTTGAGGAAACAGAATAACAGAACTACTGGAGGAAATAGCAAGCAGGACCCGCTGAGAGAGTGGTTCAAACAGTACTCCTGTACCAGGCCCATCAGATCAGCACAGGTTTCAACTTGGAAGGTGAATAAGTCCCATGCAGTGTAGTAGAGGCACACCTTACACAGCTTAAGGTGGGTAGGGCTCACTCAGGCTCCTCCCCCATAGCTGTCACTGGATTCAATGGGAATGTCACATGTCCACCTAACCTGATGGGGCTCCATTTTTTTTTAATGGCGGCCCTGACAACAGGTAATGAAGTACAACTATAGGCAAAACCTTTTTTTTTCCTTTGGATTGAAAAGGGGAGGGTTAAAACCAGTCAGATTTTTTTTTTTTGCCACCTGTGTCCCACTGGGGAGATTTAAATTCACTTCCTGTGCCAAAACAGAAAACGAGAGGAAATCCCTGCAAGTTAAGGGAATCCCTTGGGGACCAGGTTACCAGAGCTAGTACCCCCATTGGAAGATTTCCCCTCTTTGACTTTTCTGGGGACAACCCAAAATTTGTGATTTTTTTTTCAAGAAAAAAAATAAACAGGACAAACAGAGGGTGAATCTCCCTAAAGGGGGCACAAACAGCAATAGAAACCTAATACATTCTATCCAAAAAGGATACATTCTATCCAAAATGAAAAAAAAATAAAAAAAGTTTTGTCTCGTTATACTTGAAGTTAAAGGGTTGTCTCAGGAAAACACAAACTGCTGTGTTAATGCTAACTGACTGCACTATAGATGTCTTTTTTTTTTCCATTTTGCCCATAGGTAAACATTATCTAAATATTAAATTTATTTGACTGGTGGATTCTTAAATGTTGCCCTTCTGCGGCAGCCACTTGGTAATGTCGCACTTCATTTCATAATAAAGAGTAATTGAGAAATCCGCCACGAAGAGAGGGAAACCTTTTTAACAATCTTGGAAAAGGCACAGGTTAAACAACAACTACCACCATTGGTGTTAAAGAAACCCCAACCTCCTGAGACCCCCTAAAACATTGATTCTACGTGGAGTTGACATGTCAAAACTGCGTTAACCACCATTTGTTTTGCTCATAAACTGCACCAATTCTACTTGTAGACATAACTTTAAAAGCGCTTTTAAAAATAAATCTAGAAATCAAGGTTTTTCCACAATTATATATTTCTTTTCTTTCAAAAAAGATCCACATAGCAATTAGTAAGAAAATGTTCTTTAAAATAAACCAGGCATACAGAAAAGTACCAATGCAGCCTTCTGCCAGGCCAAGCGTGAACACTTAGTGTTTTGGAACCGTAGAGGACAAAAAAAAACTCAAGTGGGAATAGTGAACATTGGAAATGATTCTGAAATGTAAAAAAAGCATTAGCAAACAATGGAGAGAGGAGACTGGTTTGCCTTCGGCAGATCAACCTTTTGCAATGGCTGAAGCTTTTCGGTGACTGCAGCACCATAGCGTTTAGAATTTACATAAGAGCACTGTGACTTTGGAAACTTAATTCCCGTTATTTTTTTTGTTATTTTTTTTTTTTTTTTAAATTTCAATGTATCAAAAATATGCAGCTCTCATAAACAAGGTTCTAGAACAACCTCTAGCTTTAACTGTACACTGCTACATTACATGGACTGCAGCCCCTAAGAGGACAGTGCGGACTGCTTCAACAGGTTCTCTTGAACAGACTCAAGATCGCCTGTGCGGTGATTAACCTTCCGCACACAGGTACCGCCGATTATGACAGCGAGGGGCCGCTGTGACATTGTCTATCTCCAGCATTTTGTTAAACATCTTCAAGTCTGCTTGCACACAGCATATTTGCGTTGTTGGATGGCCTAGTCGATCTTTTCCACCTTGCCGATAATTTTCTCTTCGTAGATGGGCAGAATAGTGTCCTCGTCTCTCACCTCTTCAAAAACCACTCCGCAATCAAATTCGTCACTTACTTTCTTAAAGTAATACCTAAAAACAGAAAAAGAAGTCTTGTTACCAAAATGGTATTTATAGACTCACACACTACAATGGGGGTCATTTATGGATGGGGCATTATTAAATCGCCCTGGAATCACAGGAGAATACTAAAGGAAACAGCATCAACACGGCACGTGACGCTGTCTCTGCAGCATTCTGGACCCACCCAACCAGTACATGGCGCTGTCTTTGAAGCAATGTGGACCTGTCCACTCAGAACATGGCGTCACTCTCTCGCTAGCAACTGGCAGTGTTTTTGGCAGTGAGGGAGTGATGATCTGCTGATCCAGCTAGCAAGGAAGTGACACATACAGGCAGTGGAGTGTTCATCCAGTACATTTTAGTGATCCTGTCACTGGTATAGGATGCCGAGAGTGACATGGACATTACATAAAATCTGTCACTAGATAGAGAGTTCAGGCTTTTATTGACAGCATGCTTATATGACTCATGAGCACTGACACCAGCAAACCAGGCATTCTTTCTGAAAAGGAAACCAGGAATGGCATTCTTCATATTCCTTATGACTGATTACTTTACATTACAGATGGGAAAAAAAAACAAATAAGCTAGGAACACATTTAAGGTACAGACAAGTTTGTCTTGATTAAGGGGTTCTGTGGAACGTTAGGGTTCCTCAGTGCTGTATTTAGATTTTGTGCTGCCCTAGGCAACGCAAAAATCCCCAATGAGGGAGCAAGAGTGTCAATAAGTGTGTGTATGTATATATGATTCGCTCTCTCTCTTCTCTTTCTCTTCCTTCCCTCCCTCCCTTCACCCCCTCTCCTTCCCTTCTCTTCCCCCCTTCTCTCCCTCCCCTCCCTTCTCTTCCTTCCCTTCCTTCCTTTCCCCCCCTCTCCTTCCCTTCTCTTCCCTCCCCTCTCTTCTCTTCCCTCCCTCCCCCTCTTCTCTTCCCTCCCTCCCTCTTTCGCACATCGTATGGGACTGCACACACACACACCTCTAAGAGTTGCTGATCTCCAGCAGCAGGAAGGGGGAAAGGGGGGAGGTGTGTGCAGTCCCATACGATCTGTTAGTGTATAATGTGCTGGATGGACGACAGGAGGGAGATCCCACAGAACACAACACAGCTCACCTCCTCCGGGCTCTTTCATCTCGTCAGCTGCTGGAGGGAGAGGTACACGCGCATCGCTCTGCAACTGCCCTCCCCCACATCAATTATCCTGCTGTCCGGGCCACTGCAAGAGTATCGATGGTACCCCTCTGATGGCAGCCCTGCATGGCTCTCTCTGCCGCTGCTCAAAAGGCCCCTTCTTCCGGGGGGCGCTGCCGCCCCCCTAAAAATTGTCGCCCTAGGCAAACACCTTGTTTTCCTCGTGATAGATATGCCCCTGGGGTTCCTACTGAAGTTGATACAGGCTCCTATCAGAACAATTGTTTTATTATTATTCATTTCAAGATTACTGAAAATAGTTTTGTTGTAAAAATAACAGGGGGGTGTTAAAAATAAACTTCCCTGTGTCAAATACAATAAGTCCACCACATTATTTGTTAATAGAACAATGTATGCATACTAATGTACTGGAAGCTGTAGGTATGATCATTTCTAGAAGGGTTCCTGGAGACTTAAAAAAAAAAAAATAATTTCAAGGGCTCCTCTGAGATATAAAGGTTGAGAAGGTCTGGTACAGACAGTTTTTCCCGGTAGACAGAGTTTACCTGTAATTTCCTTTCTTCGTAAGCAGCTCCTTGAATTGTCCCAGGGTCACTACACGGCCCTTCACCATGGTCCTGTAGGGAATAGGTTCTCCACAGAAGTAGTACGCCACCACAATGTTGTCGCAGGGCTGAGAGGTTCCACTTCCTCCTTTCTTTTGAGGTTTTAACCTGTAAGAAAAAAATTAAAAATTGAATCAGAATGCAACACTCATCACATATATTTAGCAAGCAACTTAGAGGAGAAAACCTGGTGAGTGAACATTTCTCATGGTACGCTACTTTATCTTTCAGCTTAAATATCCCTGGAAAACACTGTGAATATTGCCTTTTAATGAAAAGGTTCCCTTCTCCTCCTAACCATCCCGTGACTGTTGAACTTCACTGACATACACAAAACAGAAAGCAGGTCTGTTGTCAGGGAAGGGTTTACCTTTGAATTCAGAGATAACGTATGAGGAAATTGACTAGAATTTCAGTCCTTGAAGGCAACCTGTCAGTTCCCGGTGGCCCTGCCTCCTATTATTCTGCTACATGTGCTCTTGAGAGCTGGTCATGCCGCTGCCCTTTTGTTTTTGGAAAATGGCTAAGAACATTACACAAATACAGCCAATCACCACCATGCAGCAATTACCACCGCTGTGGGACGCTGAGAATGAACTGCATACTGATCGGTTGAAATCAAGGCGTTCCTGGGGTCTTGTGGCTGCAGAGTTGACGCCTTGGTGGGCTCAGATGGAATATGGAGCACAAGCAAAGGATAAATCCAATAGCGATGATGATGATGCCGCTATCTGCTGCCGCCTTTTGTTTCTGGATAATGGCTAAGGACATTACACAAATGCAGCCAATCACCACCGGGCAGCAATTTCCACAGCTGTGGGACGCTGGGCATGAACTGCATATTGAACGGTTGAAATCAAGGCGTTCCTGGGGTCTCGTGGCTGCAGAGTTGACGCCTTGGTGGGCTCAGATGAAAGGAATATGGTGCAAAACGATGAATCCAGTAGCAATGATGCCGCTGTGTGCTGCTGCCCTTTTGTTTTTGGAAAATGGCTAAGGACATTACACAAATGCAGCTAATTGCCACCATGCAGCAATTACCACAGCTGTGGAATGCTGGGCATGAACTGCATACTGATCGGTTGAAAACAAGGCGTTCCTGGGATCTCGTGGCTGCAGAGTTGACGCCTTGGTGGGCTCAGATGGAATATGGTGCAAAAGCAAAGGATGAATCCAGTAGCAATGATGACGCATTGGTCTGTGTTGCACAGCTGCATTCTGAGAAATAGCCTTCACAATGTAAGCAGTAGCACTATTTCATTAGTAAGGGGGTCCATGATGATTCAAAAATATGGGCAGCGCCACAAAAATAAACTAAATTATGTAGTGGAAAAAAAAAAAAACGAATTATATATATATATATATATATATATATATATATATATATATATATATAAAAAAGCTGCAAAACCTAACCTATAAGGTGTGTGCATAAATGAAAAAACAGAATTGTGCTAATAATCTCACCCAACTTATTACAAATATAATCACATATATAACTATATAAATCTTATCACAATAAATGTGTCCAAATAATTGTGCAAAAAATCCAACACCAATGAAAATTTTTTTCCCGTGTTCAATAAAGCACTCCATGAGGACGTCAGATGACGAAACGCGTAGGGCGATCTTGTGGATGTGACCTCACGATGTTCCGTGATCTGTCGTCGTCCGTGGATGCCAGAGGAGGTTGTGTCTTTCATTGCTGAGAACGCGGTCTTGTGCTGGTGTTGGCTTAGACACCTTTTTTGTGAGTGTGATATATTTTAAATAAAATATTCTTTTTAAAAGTTACTGCACTATGAGCTTCTCTTCTCTATACTTCCCGAGTACCATTCTGAATCTATGAAGAAGCGGGTGCCATACTGATACATTCCATATATGCTGAAATTCTCCTGCAGAGTATTGCTCCCAGAGCACAAAGCGCTTATGCTGATTTATAATATGATCAGCATATTGCTCTGGTGATTTCATTCAATTTATTCGGTGGTGGATTTATGCACGGTAATTTTGCTTTCTGCACAGAAAAATAATTTTTGAACTTAAGATTGTTTATTGAACACAGAAAAAAACTTTTTTTATTGTTGTTGGACTTTTTGCAGGTCCGTGATGATTGCAGTAAAAAATAAACATTTCTTTCTGCCCTCACAGTGCTCTCTCTCAATCAAAATGGCAACTGGAACTAACTTTGCAATGCATTGTGGTCATTTGGGAGTGATAAATTCGCTGAGGGGAGTGTTTGTGAAAGAAAACACGCAATAATAACGAGCAAAAGCAAACAAACGTGCATGCATTTTTAGTGCGAGCGTCTTTAAGTTTATTTTTGGGCTTTTCTTTGAGCAGCAGTGTGCATGAGACCTTAGATCATTGAGACCAGGGTGGATAAAAATCAATGATTTTTTTTAAAAAAATCAAAAAAATTGGATTTTTTTGATTTAAATCGGATTTTTTTTGATTTAAATCGGATTTTTTTTAAATAAAATGCTTTTTGAGGAAAATATATTACCATCCAAAGATTATTCCATCATGAAATAAAGATTAGTTTTTTAATTATGTAGAATAAGGCTGTATATGTTTAATTTTTTTGGTAAATAAATCCCATGAATCCATTCACAATGTCATGCTCTTCCAGAGGTTTTTGTAAGATTATTGGGCAGTTTCTCTGCCTACAAGATATTATCACAGATGATCGGTTTACTTTTGCAGTTCTCAAAACTGAATTTGACTCAGCGGAGATCACATGCCTCTTCTTCACAGCAAAAATGTTATAACATGAACAGAGTTAAGAAAAAGACCTTCATCCTAACTTCTACAAACCTATGAATACAGAATCAACCCCTTCACTGCTAAGGTTCAAGAAGTTCAGTGAATAGAATAGAAACAATATTTTTCTGATTGTTTGGAGTGGAATAGATCTGCACAAGAAGAAAGTGAAACTAAGTGTGAGGGGGAGGGGCTGACAGTCTACGTTTCTTCAAATATATATATTTTGTTTAGCCAAATTAGTTACCAAACATGGATGTTTAAGCAAATCACATCTGCTGGAATGTTATTGTTTCAGATGAATAAATCTATTTAAATTGTTATTATTAAGGTAATGATTATTTTTCTCCTTCCTAAGTACAACAGAAAAGTTGTCCAAATATGAATGATTAACCTATTAAACTGGGGATAAAAAAACTAATATGAAAAGTTGTTATTCTAAAAATCTTCATCTACTTGTATATTAAAGTTATACCAGCAAGAATTAGTCTTTATGTAGAAAACTAGGATTTACATCAATCCTTACTGACTAGTGATTTAAATCAAATCCACCCTGATTGAGGACACTGCTGCCTTTAACTGCTGATCTCCCTAGATCTGGAGCGCAATTGTTTTTCAAAGAAATGTTTTACTGAAAAGTTAACATGTTTCCAGAGCATTCCACTTGCATGTAATAATGTCAAGCCAAGACGTAACATTAATAATTTTAACACATCACTCATGGGTCACAAAACTGCATACTCAAATAAGAGCAAGTAATGTCATCACACAGCTATTGACCTTTCTGAAAGCAGAAACTTTGGAGAATAATACGTTAGTTGTAATTTTATTTAAATGTCACATGATCTTAGCGCACATGTTTATCAAACCCTTATTTTTAAAAATACAATAAATCAATTTTAATGGACACAAACACAATATATTGCCCAATTTATTTCTGTAATATATAAAAAAAAAAAACAAAAAAAAAAACAGAAACGTTGTTACCAAAAACAATGATTAGGCCAAGAGGCACCAAGCATGGTGAAATGACAACAAATTTCAGTACCCAGAATTGTCCATAGACGACGCTTTAAAAGCCTTTACAACGCCTTAGTTTAGCATTAAAGCAGAACTAAATGCTCAATACTCACCTGTCCTATGGTCCTGCACCGACATCTTCTGAGCGCAGATCTTCGGGCCTCTTCATTGGCCAGCAGGGCATGCAGTCACTCCTGCACATGAGTAGGAGGCTGTCATCCCAGCACTTAGAGACAGGCCAGACGCTGTAAGCGGAGCTGTGCATGTGCAGCTCAGGTACAGCACTGGAACAGCGAGCAGGCAGGTAGGGGCATTTTATTGCAGGAGAGACAATACATGTCTCTTCTGCAACTGCAATAAAAGCCTGCCTGCTTGCGATTTCATACAGCAGAGCTTCAGCTCTGCTTTAAATGTGAATGATGGCTCTAGAATTACTGCTCTCGGCCTGTGTGGCAATAACTAAAATGCCTAATAATAGTTTTTGTATGTAACCATACCTAACACACGCCTTTATGTATTCGTGTATGGGAGAGGGGGGCGTATTTATTTATTTTTTTGTAATATTGTGTTTACTCTACCCACAGACATCAGCCATGCCAATCTTGGGCCAGCAGGAGGGTAAACAGAACCTGGGACCCATGGCAGCAGTAGCTGAGTGTGATGGCACCTTTGACAGTGCGTGGAAGTGATCTGGTGGCTATACAGCCACCTGAATTACTTCAAGTAGAAAGCTGTCAGCATGACACGTCTAAACGTGATTCCAGCTGCTATAGTATGTTTGATAGCCTAATTTAGCGTAAAGGATAGTGAGCGCTCTTATATATACAGCAGCTAGAACACTTCAGGTAACCACATTACCTCTAGAATCTCAATATAACCATAAAATAATCAAAGTGCAGCGCTCAGAAGAGTATGCATGTGACTGAAAATAGCAGAAAGGCAATAAAGTATCCACAGTGTTTCTCTGGAGTAATGCGAACTTCCACAGCCTTTACTGCCTCAAATAACAGAAATGCGCACTCACCAGAAACGCATGGGTTATGCGCATATATGATCAAACATTCCAGATGATAGGTACATCAAAGGTTAAGCAGCAGGCATCTCCTTCATGGTGGGTCATCACAGACTCCTTAATTAGATCCAAGGGTCCCCTTAAGGTCAGCCAGGTACTCCACACAAATCTTTTCTCTGGGTGGCAAAATGCTTTCTCTGTGGGGGTAATAGCTCCACATAGGAGCCCCAGAAAACAGATGCCAGAGATAGTGTATTTCCCAGACAATTTTATTAATGTAAAGAACACAGCAGGGCAGTATGCACATTCAAATTCATGTATGCACAGGAGAAGCAGCAGTACTGACCCCAGTAAAGATGGCCGCCGGGCCTCCTCGTGGCTCCGGCGGTGAAATGACGTCACGCTCGGCACAGCTCCTCCTTGGGCATACTCTGAGCGCTGCACTTTGATTATTTTATGTTTGATAGCCTGCTCTGCTGCCAATGCAAGCCTTGTGTCAGTGGCAGAAAGGGTTAAAGTAAACATGCTGAATTCAAACAATCTGAAAGAGGACTGCAGAAGGGTTCCTGCTGAAAATCTTTTTTTTTTTTTATTAGAAAAGCAGTGTAAATACACACTCAAATTTCTTTTCATCCACAGTGCACATCTTTCAGCACCAGTGTGGATGTGCTAAGAACATGAGCAAAGTACATCTTTTCTTCAATTTGTATGGAAATCTCCACAGCATTTAAACATCAATATTGCTTTCGTTACTTGATGCAATGGCCTCACTAACCAATAAGGGTGCTTGAAGGTCAAAAGTGTATGAACATTTGCTAGTGGGAAGGGGAGGAGGGTGACTGGAAGGGAGATGTACACATGGGGGAGGTATTAAGGATCAGGAGAGGGCTTGCTACTAGAGACAAACTGACACAAGAAAAGAAGAGTGACATACTGTGGCTCTGAGAGGTCCATGTCGGAGACAGCTGGCACCACATTCATCAGTGGAATATAAGGTGGCCTGACAGAAGAGCGCCCCCGCTGGATAACCTCTTGAACATACCTAGAGAACAATCTCACAGATTAGAATGCACTCTAGATCTACGACTTACTACACCAACAGAAATCTCACCCCCTAGGGATTACGTGTAATAAGTTCTTTAGAATGGGTTTGAGTTGCCTGTAGCAACAGATTAGCAAACAAAACTGCCATCTATATGCAGAACAGACTTGAGTACAAAATGACATTTTTATTGGCTTCTACTCTAAGAATGATAGGATTTTTTAACTCACCATACAAATTATTTTCTTGGAGTCCATTGAGGGACACAGTAAGTATTAAGCCTTCAAGGTTATAATGAAGGCGAATGGAGGATTGAACACTGGCAAGCGCAAAAACTGTAGGCCAGCCCAGGATAACTGCACCACTACCAGCATGATCATAAACACAGAATAGGACCTGTGTTCCTCAGTGGACCCCAAAAAAAAAAAAGAAAAAAAAAAAAAAGATTTTATGGTGAGTACAAAATACATTCCTTCTCTTCCATTGAGGTTCAAAAGAAGACTTTCACCTTCGAGACATCCAAAAGTAGTACAGCTAAGGAGTAGACATACTGAAAACACTGACAGGCCCAGAAAACTGAGGACTGCACGCAGCTCAAACTACCTGAATGACCCTAAACCTAAAGCTGGTATCAGATGAGGTCACAACATCCACCAGCTAGAACTTTGAAAACTTGAGCAGAAGACCAGGTGGCAGCCTTTGAATCTGATCCTTGAGGCCATAAGTGTGGATGGTTTGTGAGCCACCTAGAGATAGTGTAATGAGAAGTTGGTGTACCCTTACAGAAGCCATTCAGGGTGACAAAAAGGCAATGTCAGACTTCTGAGACAGAGAAACTCACAGCCTGGACCACATCCAGACAAAGAGAAAATTTTCCTTTTGCTGAACTCAAAGGATAGGAAAATGAAATTCTGGTTGATATAAACAGCAGAAACTAATGGGAAAAAAGTCCTGGGCATCTATACCACTTGGTCCCTGTGCCAAACCAGAAAAGGTTCCTTGCGGGATAAGACCACTTGTTCAGGCACTCGCCTAGCAGAGTTGATGCTACTAGAAAACCACAATGTGGGTGAGAGTGGAGAGAAGAATGTCGCTAATGGTTTCAAATATTGGAAGCACCAGAGAGAACCATAAAGTTTTGCCCTGTACAGGATGAGATTCACCCTTTTTACCACAGTGGGACTTTCAATTACTACCTGATGGTTGATGTACATCACTGCCATGGTGTTCTCTGACTGAATGAGGATTGGTTGACCCCCCAGCATGATGGTCCAACGTTGCAAAATCAGCCAAATCCCCTAAAGGTCCAGAATGTTAGGCAAGAGAAGAGACTACTTTGACGGCCAAGTTCCCAGCACAGACAAGGTACCCATAACATGCTGGTATGTATTGTGATGTTCTTCAGGAAAACAGGACTTCCCCAATTTCAGAACTGGATTCCTGAGCTGTCAAGCCTATGTCAACCTGTTTTCTTAACAAAAAGTGAAAAGATTTTGCTGTTTGTTGCTTAGCTTTCTTCCACTGAGGAAGATACTCTTGTCACCAGTAGCATCTTCATAAAGGTATCCTGAGTAGGTCCTAAGAGACCTTATAGGCCATGTGGATCTGACATTTCTTCGATGTGGTCTTCATAGCCCCGCACTTTAACCAAAGCACCATCTACATGTATACTGACAGGATATCAATGCAGATCAGAAATCTGTCACAGCTGTAGCTTCAAAGAGGACTTCCACCTATTTATTAGTTGGGTCCTTAAAGACAGGGGCATCCTCCTCAGTAAGGTGTTTTCTTTGTGTGGGTGGGATAATGATATTGAACAATGGGGGCCAACCACTTTTTGATAAAGAGATCTTTAGCTGGGTAGAAAGCCATTAAGAGCTTGGGGGGAGCAAACAACTTGTAAGGTGTCTTGTCCCACCTTCCTTAAAGGGAGACTTGAAACAGCAAGCTATCCTCAACATCTGGTCCAGCAGGGTCTGGATGAAACAATTCAAAAGCCATGCTGAGGATAGCCGTGTCGAACAGCTGCAAATCGGCAAGACTAGATCTAGCAGCAATGAAGAGAAGAGTTTTCAAAAAAAGAAAAAAAATGGTGCTACCAAAGTAGGTTAAGTCTTTCACACAGCAAATCTGAAGAAAAGACATCCATTCTCCAAGGATGCTAGTAATAAAATGGAGGCAGGCTGGTCCTGGGCTGACTCACAGTTTGTTTTTAGCTTGCCAGTGTCCAATTCTCCAGTAGGCAGTAATATAACGTGAACGTGAAAGACTTCCTGTGTCCCCCAATAGAGGAGAACACTTTTTTTCCTTTAAGTGCTTTCTAGCTAAAGCAAGATGGCTGTCATGAGCTCAAGGGATCAGTATGGCTGCCAAATGTCTCCAAAGCTTTTGCAAATAGCCAGTCTGAATACTATGCATTTTTCAAGCATAGGTTCACCAGCTGATATCTGTAAGCATACCGTTTTGTTTTAAAAAACAGACACTAAAAAACATGCAATATGCAAGGAAAAAAAAAAAAAAAACTCCCCAAAAACTGGTAATATAGTCATTGGTGATCTACCTAGTGGTTTCGTAATGCTTAGTGCAATTTCATGTCAAAATTCTCAGCTTGAGGCAGTGATCCTCCATACTTGCCAAAACAATGCTTTTCAACTGTACCGAACAGTACAGAGCACATCATATTGGTAGTTATGGGTAAAACGGATCCCTTAAAATGGAAAGCATCTTAGGACAAAAAGGCACCTTAGTCACCATAAAACTCATTTTACATTAAACACAAAGAAATTGTAATAACAATGGTTTTAAATCAAGTAGAGAAGGACAATGGCAACTTGTTATGTAGCTGGGCTTAAAGAGACACTGTCACAATGCCCATTTAGGACAGAGTGACAGTGTCTCCTGACAGCCGCCACCCCCCCCCCCCCCCCCAGTCCAACAAGGTATACTTACATTCAGAGCTCCCTCCCCACTTCTCCTATGGATAGAGTCCACCCTGGGTGAGCTCCTGTATTAAAAGATATTAGTGCTTCTTCCACCCACATCAGTACTTAAGCCTGGCGATTAGCTGCTCAGACTCAAACATAGTCAACTCAGGGCAAGGCTCGTGCCCCTCCATATGCAGAAAGCCGGCTCCTACTCCAACTTAGCATGGATGAGTATACTTTTGCTGGACAGGGGTGGGCTATCAGACAATAATGTCCCTTTGTGTTGAATGGACAGTATCTTGAAGGGGGTGACCGTGTGTGTTAGTCTACCATTCTTGGCATATTTTTCAAGTCTTTGATTACAAGGAACTGTACAGAATGCAAAAAAAAAAAAAAAAAAAAAAAAAGTTTAAAAAGGTACAGTAATACCTCGGTTTACAAATGCCTTGGTTAACGTACTTTTCAGTTTACAAATGAAATTCCATTGAAAATAATGCCTCGGTTTTATGAATTTGTTTCGCAATACGAAGTGTATGACGGTGCCAATTTTTAAATGCAATTGCCGGCTTTTTTTTTTTTTTTTTTTTATTCACTATAGCTCACAGAATTAGCTGTCACTTTCACCGGAGCTAAAGGAAACTTTGTTTCTTTCAAGAAACTAAAATGAGACATTGTTTCTCTTAACTTGGGAAATAAACTAAAAAAAAAAAACCCCAAAAAACTCTCTTTTAACTGCGGGGAAAGTGACAGCTGAATTTCTGAGCTATAGTGAAGAAAAAAAAAACGTTAATTACATTTAAAAACCAGCACAATAAATAAAAAAAACAGGCCTGGGGTCTCCCCTCCCATCCATACCAAGCCCTTTGGGTCTGGTATGGATTTTGAGGGGAATTCCCACAGCAAAATTAACAAAAAAAAATGGCGTGGGAATGGCGTGGGGGTCCGCCCCAAAATCCATACCAGATTCATCAGACCATGCAGCCCGGCAGGTCAGGAAAGGGGGGGGGGGATTGATTGAGTGTGCCCCTGCCCTCCTGAACCATACCAGGTCACACACCCTCAACATGGGGAGGGAGGGGGTGCTTTGGGGCACCTTGTCCCCATGTTGATGGGGACAAGGGCCTCTTCCCCACAACCCTGGCAGGTGGTTGTGGGGGTCTGCGGGCAGGGGGCTTATTGGAATCTGGAAGCACCTTTTAACAAGGGGGCCCCCAGATCCTGGACCCCCCCCCCCACGTGAATGAGTATGGGATACATGGTACCCCTACTCATTCACAAAAAACAAAAAGTGTAGTGTGAAAAAAGACAGGACACGGTCTGTGACAAGTCCTTTAATAAAAGAAAAAAACTAAAATAATGTCTCCCCGCAGTAGATCCAACGTCAATTACGATGCCCGCCATCACAACCGCTGCAGACCCAAACAAAATAATAAAACAAATAAGTATCCGCTCCCGACGATGGCTTCCAGCCATCTGCCTGCTCCGGTGGTTTGACAGTTCTTAAATATAGAAGGGGCAGGGCCACCTGGGAACATCCCCCATGTGACATCAATGATGTCCTAGATTGTAAGCTCGAAAGAGCAGGGCCCTCGATCCCCTCATGTTTTGCACTGTATTGTTATTGCTCTGTCACATGTTCTGTCCCCCTTTGTAATGTACAGCGCTGAGCGAACCATTGGCGCTTTATAAATACTGAATAATAATAATGTCACTTATGGCGGGGTCACTCGGGTAAGTATGATATGATTAATATTTTAATTTTAAAAAATAGAAAGCCTTTACAGCTACTTAGAGTGGGTACTGATGATTATTGTCACTGGAAAATAAACTAAAGAAAAATCCTCCAGTTAAGGATGGTGTTCCCATGAGGGGATTTTTCTTCAGTTTGTAAAGCCTCTCATCTGTATATTTGAGACAGAAACTGAAATTAAATCTCCCCAACAGGATGCATGCAGGCAAAAAAAACTGAACAAAAAAAAACACCGGCAGGGGTCTGTGAATGATGCAGCAGCAGTCAGTGTTGGACCTGTTGCAAACCCCTAATAGCCCCTTGTAGCACTGCTGGGTGCTTCTGTGTTACTGGAGGCCATTCAGTGAAGTACACAAGTATGGAACAGACTACATTTAGACTATATAAACCACCACCACACAGAAAGCCTGAAGTGGACAATTACCTAAAGCTCACCCATCATGAGTGGGGAAGGAGATGCTGCTACTGTTATTTACCTTCTGACCTGAACCTCATGTAGATCAGGAACAGCAGTAGTCCTTATCTGCATAATTGTTCTGGGTCAGTGATTTAACCCCTCGCCCTCTTGAGGATTTACCCCTCTTCCTGACCGGGCCATTTTTTGCATTACTGCGCTGCGTTACTTTAACTGACAATCGCAAGGTCTTGCAACACTGCACCCAATTTAAATTTACGTCCTTTTTTTCCCACAAATTGAGCTTTCTTTCTGTGGCATTTGACCGCTAATAAAAATTTTTTTAAAAAATCAAATTTCGTCATGTAGACCAAAATGTATTCTGTGACATGTCTTTGCTGAAAAAAATCCCAATATGTGTAAATTAATTGGCTTACGTGAAAGTTATAGTGTTTACAAATGGCGGTATAAATAGTAATGGCAGCAATCAGTGACTTAATGGGACTGCGGCGGACATTCTGACACTGGGGGGAACTAACTTAGTGTCATTGACATCCCCAGTGACACCAATACAGTGAACAGTGCTAAAAAAACTGAACTGCCACTTTATTAATGAAACTGGGCAGGAAGGGGTTAATGTGAGGGGCGATCAAAGGGTTAACTATGTGCAGGGAGTGTTTTACTAGGGGGCGGTGTGTGTGCTTCACTGTAAGCACACTGATGGGGATGGCTGTGCACAGCCATCCTGAGCAGTGTGCCCGAGCTGACAGGGAGGAAGACTGTTAAACAAAACAGTCTTGCTCCCTGTCGGTAATCACCAGGCGATACCCAGTAATTGACATCTGTGGCCACGCATGGCGGTGCGTGTAGGGCTTGCGCGCGCCCCCTACCCGGAAATATGTGTGTGTGATTTTGCGCACCCGTACCGCCATGCAATAGTTAATGAACTGAAGCCATTGAGTCACTGTGACTGTCAGGCAAGTATCATGTTCAGAAGGAGAGGTAAACAATGGCAGCATGCTTTCCATAGGACAGCTTTTCTTTATATTTAAAAAAAAAAAAAGCACAACCAGAGAAGGCATAGAAAACTACTCTCATACTACGAGGTGTATCATACCTTTGCTTCACTTGCATTTTTCCTGCTTTTCTTTCCTCCTCTTCCAGCCTCCTGCGTGCTTCCTCCAGCTGTGTCAGCGGATTGGGGGCAGGGTTGGGTGGCATGGTGGGATCTTGCACGAACGGGTGGGAGGGCTGAACCACGTTACGTAGTTGGGCAGTGACCCACGGGTGAACGGCACCCGGCCGCTCGATAGAAAGTGGTCTAGGCACATCATGGCCAGGTTGCTTCTTGGCACCTGACGAACTGCGGGTATGAACACAGGGGTCAGCTGGGACACTTACAGAACATAAAAACACATATGTTATGAAAACATGTTTCAATTCACTCTCAGCCCCACTTAACCTCTGTCTAAATGGAAAAAAAAAGTGCTTCCCCCCGATATCCTTTTAAAAACGACTTGCAGGGAATTCCTCTTTAATTGTTGTCTGTTTCTACAGACTCCTCACTCAGCTGAATGGCATTGCTTAACATTACCCAGCTTCAGCTTGTCTAGTCTAGTTCCAACTGCCGGCAATGGGGAGACTGAACTTGATCTCATAGAAAGCACTTCCTAGGGTACCCCTCTGTATGCCACAGAATATCACACCCCCATTTATTCCCAACCAATCCGTTCAGAGATTATATCCATGTTCATGTAGTAACTGTCAGGGCTCAGAGCAGCTCCTTTCACCCCCCCTCCTCCTTTGCTCATCTGTACAGCAGCAATGAGTCTGCGGAGCTAGGGATACACGCACAGCAGCGAGGCCGGGGAGCTAGGGATGCACGCACAGCAGCGAGGCCGGGGAGCTAGGGATGCGTGCACAGCAGCGAGGCCGGGGAGCTAGGGGTGCGTGCACAGCAGCGAGGCCGGGGAGCTAGGGATGCGTGCACAGCAGCGAGGCCGGGGAGCTAGGGATGCGTGCACAGCAGCGAGGCCGGGGAGCTAGGGATGCGTGCACAGCAAAGAGGCCGGGGAGCTAGGGATGCGTGCACAGCAAAGAGGCCGGGGAGCAAGGGATACACACACAGTAGTGAGGCCGGGGAGCTTTGCTCATCTGTACAGCAGCAATGAGTCTGCGGAGCTAAGGATACATGCACAGCAGTGAGGCCGGGGAGCTAGGGATACATGCACAGCAGTGAGGCCGGGGAGCTAGGGATGCACGCACAGCAGCGAGGCCGGGGAGCTAAGGATGCACGCACAGCAGCGAGGCCGGGGAGCTAAGGATGCACGCACAGCAGCGAGGCCGGGGAGCTAGGGATGCACGCACAGCAGCGAGGCCGGGGAGCTAGGGATGCACGCCCAGCAGCGAGGCCGGGGAGCTAGGGATGCACGCCCAGCAGCGAGGCCGGGGAGCTAGGGATGCACGCCCAGCAGCGAGGCCGGGGAGCTAGGGATGCACGCCCAGCAGCGAGGCCGGGGAGCTAGGGATGCACGCCCAGCAGCGAGGCCGGGGAGCTAGGGATGCACGCCCAGCAGCGAGGCCGGGGAGCTAGGGATGCATGCCCAGCAGCGAGGCCGGGGAGCTAGGGATGCATGCCCAGCAGCGAGGCCGGGGAGCTAGGGATGCACGCCCAGCAGCGAGGCCGGGGAGCTAGGGATGCACGCCCAGCAGCGAGGCCGGGAAGCTAGGGATGCATGCCCAGCAGCGAGGCTGGGGAGCTAGGGATGCATGCCCAGCAGCGAGGCCGGGGAGCTAGGGATGCATGCCCAGCAGCGAGGCCGGGGAGCTAGGGATGCATGCCCAGCAGCGAGGCCGGGGAGCTAGGGATGCATGCCCAGCAGCGAGGCCGGGGAGCTAGGGATGCGTGCCCAGCAGCGAGGCCGGGGAGCTAGGAATGCGTGCCCAGCAGCGAGGCCGGGGAGCTAGGGATGCGTGCCCAGCAGCGAGGCCGGGGAGCTAGGGATGCGTGCCCAGCAGCGAGGCCGGGGAGCTAGGGATGCGTGCCCAGCAGCGAGGCCGGGGAGCTAGGGATGCGTGCACAGCAGCGAGGCCGGGGAGCTAGGGATACGTGCACAGCAGTGAGGCCGGGGAGCTAGGGATACATGCACAGCAGTGAGGCCGGGGAGCTAGGGATACATGCACAGCAGCGAGGCCGGGGATCTAGGGATAACATGCACAGCAGTGAGGCCGGGGATCTAGGGATAACATGCACAGCAGTGAGGCCGGGGAGCTAGGGATAACATGCACAGCAAGAAGTTAAGCTGCTGGGGATGTGCGAGTGCATGGGGGAGATATTCTGCAGGGGATCTAAACAACTAGGAATATATCTGCACATGGGAAATATACTGCAGATATTGCCTCCAGAGCCATTCTCTTCGTTTTTGCCAGCTGAGCTATTTGCGGATGTTGCTGACAATGATCAGGCTAGCACACACAAAAGAGTGACACACACAGTTTGCTAGGGTAAGTAGGAGATGTAGTACAGGCATGGGGGGCTTGAGTACCAAGAGGGTTTGAATGCCCTAACAGTAACAGAAAGTGGAATGTAAGTGACACATGTAAATATTCTTTCATACAGACCAAACATATTTGCAAAGAAAAGAGGTAATGTATACTCATCCTCAAAAAAAAAAAAAAATTATATATATACATATATATATATATATCTATATATATCTATATATATATATCTATATATATATATATATATATATATATATATATATATATATATATATATATATATATATATAAAAACTACGACACTGAAGGCTGTAAATCTATGTATTTCAGTTGTGTAACTAGCTGTGTCTGGAGCTCCACTTTAAGGACAGCCCTCCAGTTGCTGCCTAACAAACTGGCAAATTAATTTACGACCTCTGAAAGGGGGTTCCGAATACTACAATATATCTTTTGGTTCGGGAGATCCCTCTGCCCTGCTTTATAATCAACATCAGCATAATACAGAGGCAGTCTCTCACCTATGGACGGATTTTTTATGTCTGCTTATCTCCTTCTCTCCTTCCATTATCCATTGCATGATTTTCTGGTTTCTCTCCGCGTCTTCTGGCACAACTGGCATTTCATAGCTGGCACTTTCAAGCTTCCCGGAATCCACTTTCTTAGCGTTCCTTTTGGCAAGCATACTTACTTTTCCGCTGTAATGGGGGAAAGAAAAAAAAAAATTGCAGCCATGAAGTCAGACTAACATTAACCCCATGAGAAAACCACCATCAGACAATTCTAACGAGGCAATGGCATGCAGCTTTCATGCGAGGTTTAGGCAGACTGCATCTGCATGTAGACTACAGGAATGACACTGCTGCGACTTGTAGTCCCAAAGTGGAGATTACTTTGCTGCCACCTGAAGCCCTACAAAGAAGAAACTTGTTCTGTTGTTCTCGCTGTAACGATAATGCGCAATAGAGACATGGAAGCTGTACGTGACAGCCATCCGGTTAAGGCCTCAGCCATTTTGTTTTTTATGCACAATCTTCTTTCTCCCCTCCTCCCTCTTGAAATGGAATTTGTAGCTGTAAATTGTAAGGAACTTCAAAAGAGCCTCTTATGGTAAATAAAACACAAATAGAGGCCAGCTCCAGAGCTGTAAACCGCTAATTAGGCTTGGCAGGAGGTCTATTTTGCAAAGACACTTTCCTCTGCCCTATCGTAAAACAATAACTCAGTCAGCTGTCACACATGACCTGTTAGGCCATTAGAGCCTAGGAATGCAGAGCGTGCCATAAAACGTCTACTCCACATGTAACAATTTAACATACAGTTCATAAAATTCAACAAGAACTGGGCACATTATTATTAGGTGTATATTTGCATAGGGCATTTCATGCCAAGCCAAACAAGGTCCTACATGACTATGTTAGCACAAAGGAAAGGGAAGAAAGCAGTCTCTTCCCTCCTGGGTGACAAGGGTACACTGTGTTTGGTATCCCTGGGTTTGAAATAGAACTCTGAATATTAATCTGCCAGTTGCTAGAATACAACCTGCACATATTGGAGGTTATTAAGATTAGTATGAAATTGTAGTTGGGACTTGGTCATAAACTTGATGACCTCCTAGAACCTGGGTGATTGGTCAGTTGTCTCAGGCTACAACCCTTTAATATCATAGAAAAGATTGACAGGCCTGGTAAAGGGGAGCTCTCGTTTAACATCAACCAAGAAACATCTTAACGGACTTGAGAGCCCAGGCAACATTTTTGTTTGGACAATTGGACTCTGCTAAACCAGGACTTTGCAAGCATTCTGCCTTCTTAATTCCTTTCTTTAATTTCTGTTGCAGTATTGCTCTCTTTATGTCTTTGTAACATCTTTTTCTGTAAATATTTTAAGTGCACTATTTTGACCTTTTAAGTAATAAACCCTATTTTGAAAAGTGTTGAAACTGTCTCTAAAGCTTTTAATGCAAACAAAAAAATCCCTGTCTCTTTAAGAGTGCTCCTGTATGTAATTATCCTCTAAATATACCTGTCTGTGGTGACAGTGTGTGTTGCAGACACTTATGCTGAAATCATAGTGTTATTTCTACGTTTATGAGTTTCTTCCTTCTCTGTAAAAAGGTGGTGGTGGCAGTGTGAAGGGTTAATTGCGTAATTAACCTGACCCAGTAACAATCGCTCTCAGGCTGCTGGCACAGATTGTGGTCACGCGAGCTGGAAAATCTTTGTGCAGGGTGCAGCTGAGAGTGGCATTGTTACGCAAGTGACAGCACGGTGCGAGATTGGCTGGTCCTTTGTCAAGAGCTGGCGAGAAGGGCAGAGGTCGGCCACCGCGTTCCGTCACACTCGCTATTGGATTTTCTTATGCAACTTGTAGATCCACAGAGAGCCCACACTGATGGAGTACATAAAATTCAAGATGGCCACCACTAGTGTGCTCCATTACACTTGTGACATCACCAGGCTGTACTCTGCCAGACTAGAGTGAATGCAGGGGGGTGGAGAGGGGCTCTCCACACCCTGCATTGTTTGGTGCCTTGAGCCTCTCGAACCTCCCCCAAACTCAGCTACGGATATGGAGCTCTTTTGTCAATCCAGGAGGCCATATACTGAAAAACCACAAAAAAGGTAAATTTTCATCAATCATGGCAGTCTCTGCCACACATTCAGGGACTCCTCATGATGAACGGATTTCAGTGCTGATCCTTGAGGATGAACTGCTCAACGATGACTGCAGCTTCAGGGGTCAGTGGGGTTATTTTTAAAGCTCATTTGCTGCTTCTTAATATCTGTCATTAGTTCACATTGCTGAGTCACGTGACTTGCTTGAAACTTTTGTGATTTAGCACTGCAGTCTATGGTACTCAAGTCGCACCAAAGCTGCGCAGGAACCTTTTTTTTGCCGCTGTGAGTTTGAGTCGCATTGATCAAGACAACACCCATTGAAATGTGTTTTGACTTGTCTTGTGAATTTATATATCCCAAGTCGCAGCAGTGTGAACCGGGGCTAAAGCCAGGCCACAGTTCCACTTTAAGCAATAAAAATTCATGGTAATTAGTATTTTATGTGCTGGACTCGTATAGCTTATTGGCCTGGGTGTCAAGACGTGCCTTAGGCTAGTTGAGTACATGGATAAATGTAGCTCTGAATAGCCACTTGCACCAAAAGTATATTTGAACATTTCATAACTATATTTTATAACAGCACACCAGATACCTCGTGAAGGCAGTTGCTAAATGTCCAAGACTCCCCCAAAAAAAAAAAAGTTCTGCCATGCAGAATGTATATGAGAACTAAGGAGTGAAAAGCAAACCTTGCATACCTGTAGCCCAGAGAATCCATAGGATTAGGGGCCATTCCCATACTCTCTGCATAATTTCGAGACTTGGTTGCATAGTTATGTGGGTCTGCATTCCATGGGAAGTTGCTCTGCACTCTTTGTGTGGCCTCAGCCTCAATTTGTTCTTTAGGTTTCACACCACTATGGTGGTGAACATGGTGATAAACATGCTTGTGGTGGTAAAGGTTGGATGCCTCAAGTTTTGAGTTGCTCTTGCCCGAATGCTTTCCGTGACCAGACTGCATTGTTCCCATGGATACAGGAAGGCCTTTGCCCAAGTGGCCATCCGGAGAGCGTGGTTTCGGGGAATGGCGCCCAGGGCCTGGAGACTGGCAGCCTGGGGTTTTCATGACGCGCTGCACGTGTTCATCAAGGATGGACTCTGGATTTTCTTCGTGGGCGTCTCTGATTGGCATCCCGACACAACCCATGTCAGCATAACGTGAACCAAATTGATGCATGGGCTGGCTTGAAGGCAACTTGTGGCTAACCATGGAAGGTGCAGATGAGACATCGGCATCATCACCTTCTTCTTCCTTTGGATGCAAAAAAGAAAGAAGTCACTTTTTGTTTACATTAATGCCAATAAAAAGACTGCGCTCAATCAATTTTTTTTTTATCCTTGCATTCTTCGTATACAGCTGCCCCAGAACCTAAGTTTGCCAAAGACAGGCCCGGTGTTCCCAGGTTGTAAGCACCACTCTTTAACCACTTGCTATCAGGGGAATTTTTTTTAATTCTTCACGTTAAAATCTGCTTTTTTTGCTAGAAAATTAGTTCGAACCCCCAAACATTATAGATTATCTGAAAGCCCTGAAGAATAAAATGGTGGCTGTTGGAATTTTGTATGTCACATGATCTACAAATTATGTATGACCGCGAAATGTGAAACTACTGTACCTAAATTTTTCTATAGACACTTTAAAAATCTTTCTCGGGGCTCATTGGTCCCATTGTATCAGTTAAATCAGGGGTCTCCAAACTTTCTAAACAAAGGGCCTGTTTGCTGTCCGTCAGACTTTAGGGGGGCCAGCCTGTGGCCATTGGGAGTTGAAATCGTGGTGTCAGTGGAAGCAAACAATGCATCTTTGGTGTTAGGGGGAGGAATCGTGCCTCATCATTGGTGTCAGTGGGTGGCATAGTGCCCTGTTGTTGGTGTCAGTGGGAGAAATAGGGCTCCGTTGTTGGTGTCAGTGGGAGGAATAGGGCTCTGTTGTTGGTGTCAATGGGCCCCATGTCAGTAACATGAATTATGCCCCATTGTTGGTGCCAGTCAGGGAGGAATAGTGTCTTGTATCAGTGGGAGGGAAAAGTGCCTCAAGGGCCGGATAAAGGCAAGAAAAGAGCCGCATCTGGCTCCCGGGACGCAATTTGGAGACCATGGAGTTAAATCTATAATGTTCCTTGCAAAGCGGAAAGGAGACTATTTGTTTATATCTACACAAAGGTGCAGTCACTTGTTTGTATTTTATTTCAGTTTGGATGTATATGTGCTAAATGTTGGCTGTATTTTCTGTTTACTGGAAATGTTCTTGATGATACTTTGATTTTTGTATCTTTGAAGCTTTGCCATAAATAAAAGAATTGCTAAAAAAAAAATAAATGTGCAGGTTATCAGTGTAGATAATGATGATGAATGATGGCCCTGAATTTATTGCCATCAAGTTTGACGTTTGCGGTGATACTTCCTGTGTGACACAAATTGCTGTTTACATGAACGTGTGGGACCTATACATGTTTGTATTTGCATGTATGTGTAGGGGGATAAGGGTGCTTTTAAGAAAAAAACTTTACACTTTTTTTTCATTTTACTTTATCGCTATCACTAAGGGGCTAAAAAAAAAAACCAAACTGTGATAGAATGGGCAGGTCCTTCCTATGGAGACATCAGGGGTCTATTAGCCCCCACAATGTCTCTTCTAACCCCCAACACAGTCAATCAAGCACAGATAATATTTGATTAGCTGCATCCCAAGGCTTTAGCAAACAAGGAATTAGCGCTCTGAAACAAAAACCGGTAAAATCAACCTTGTTTCTGGGTTCATTTTGTTACAGAGGAAAAAGATATTCCTAGAGGAATGGGAGAGCCTAGGACCTACCACCATTGGGCAGTGGCAGGAAGCCTTCTCACTACAGTAAAAGTGATCAGGTGGCCGTAGACCCACCCAGATCACTTTTAGTGAGCAGTCGATTGCTGCCTGTAAAAATGATGCCAACTATGTTTCCTAAATCCAGGATGGTTGTATACTTTATATGGACAGCAAGTGGTTAAAGCTTGGAGCCAATGATCTTGAACATCAACATCATGTGAAGAAAGTTAGCAGCTCCATCCCAAAACAGTGAAAATTCTGCTTAATATGGCTGCACTGGTGTAAATGAAACTGCAGCCAATTTTTTTTTGTCCTGCTTTCAGAGTAAGGAACATTTACTCTGGCAGGTTTTTATTGCTATGGGGAAGTAGTGGGTAAGGGGATCTGGGTCAAACGTAGGCTTGAAAGTGTAGTAAGTAAGATTAGGTGGCTCTCATGCAAATCCTCTAGAAGGTGATTTGGATGAAAACTAGAAGTGAAAGAGTGTCACATATTGATGTCACATAGTTGACAGTATGCAGCAAACACAGCTGCGTATTGTTGAACCCTTTGAGCAGCTTCACACTGCCCCAATTTGTGCAGTTAGCTGTGTTTTCCCATAAACTTCTATGATGTCCTGTGATTTTGTGCAGTTTCAGAAAGCGCACCAAAGATGCAGCATGCAAGAGTTTTGGTGCACTTTCTGAAACCGTACCAAAATCGCATGACCTCATAGAAGGTCTATGGGAAAGCGCAGCTAGCCCACGTGAAAACCACAGGTTGGCTGCGTTTTAGCAAATGCGCAGTGGAACAGTGTAAAGCCGCTCTTCGAGTCGATCACCTTTCCAGTTCATGTCACACCAGAATTTTGGAGCCATTATGAAAAGGGTCCTTCACAGAACTCCCAGAATGCATTGTTTGGACATATGCCGGAAAAAAAAAAAAAAATATTCAGACACTCAACCAAGTGGTGCTCCTGCTCTGCTAATACCTTCTGTTTTTTTTTTTTTTTTTTATGCAATATATGCCCCCATTGGGAAGATTTTGTTTGTTTACCAGCAAAGCATGTACTCTTTTCAATTGTTTGTTCAGCTGTTTCATGAGCTACATCAGGCCTTGAAATTTCCACTCGCCTGCTTGCCAATGGTGAGTGGAAATTATGGTGGGGCGAGTGTGTCCCCCAGGGCCGTCTTACTGAGCAGGCTCGGGGTTCAGGTTGGATCTGTCATTGGCACTGGGAGCCGTCAGACTGCTCAATAGCTGAGCGCAGTGAAAGCAAAGGAAGGAGTGTGTGCTGTGCTCTCTGTCTCCCCCTAGAGTGCAGTACCCGGCTCTGTGAGTGAACAACGAAGTACTGCAACTTTTTATAGGTGTGTGTGCACGAGTGTGTGTGTGTGTGTCTGTGTCTGTGTATGCATGTACGTGTCTGTGTGTATGTGTACATGTGTCTATGTACGTACATGTGTCTGTGTGTACATGTGTCTGTGTATGTATGAACATGTGTCTGTGTATGTATGAACATGTGTCTGTGTATGTATAAACATGTGTCTGTGTATGTATAAACATGTGTCTGTGTATGTATAAACATGTGTCTGTGTATGTATAAACATGTGTCTGTGTATGTATAAACATGTGTCTGTGTATGTATAAACATGTGTCTGTGTATGTATAAACATGTGTCTGTGTATGTATAAACATGTGTCTGTGTATGTATAAACATGTGTCTGTGTATGTATAAACATGTGTCTGTGTATGTATAAACATGTGTCTGTGTATGTATAAACATGTGTCTGTGTATGTATAAACATGTGTCTGTGTATGTATAAACATGTGTCTGTGTATGTATAAACATGTGTCTGTGTATGTATAAACATGTGTCTGTGTATGTATAAACATGTGTCTGTGTATGTATAAACATGTGTCTGTGTATGTATAAACATGTGTCTGTGTATGTATAAACATGTGTCTGTGTATGTATAAACATGTGTCTGTGTATGTATAAAACATGTGTCTGTGTATGTATAAACATGTGTCTGTGTATGTATAAACATGTGTCTGTGTATGTATAAACATGTGTCTGTGTGTGTATAAACATGTGTCTGTGTGTGTATAAACATGTGTCTGTGTGTGTATGAACATGTGTCTGTGTGTGTATGAACATGTGTCTGTGTGTGTATGAACATGTGTCTGTGTGTGTATGAACATGTGTCTGTGTGTGTATGAACATGTGTCTGTGTGTGTATGAACATGTGTCTGTGTGTGTATGAACATGTGTCTGTGTGTATGTACATGTGTCTGTGTGTATGTACATGTGTCTGTGTGTATGTACATGTGTCTGTGTGTATGTACATGTGTCTGTGTGTATGTACATGTGTCTGTGTGTATGTACATGTGTCTGTGTGTATGTACATGTGTCTGTATGTATGTACATGTGTCTGTGTGTATGTACATGTGTCTGTGTGTATGTACATGTGTCTGTGTGTATGTACATGTGTCTGTGTGTATGTACATGTGTCTGTGCGTGTGTATTTCTGTGTATATACATGTATCTGTGTGTGTATACATGTGTCTGTATGTGTGCGCGTGTGTGTGTATACATGTGTCTGAATGTGTGCGCACATGTGTCTCTGTGCGTGTGTGTGTACATGTCTGTGTGTGTGTACAGGTGTCTCTGTTTGTGTGTGTTTTGTTGGTGGCGAGTAACTCTTAAGGCCTGGCTAGTAGCTCAGGACTTGAAATTTTAAGCCCTGAACTACATGGTTTCCTAAGCTGTACTGCAGTCCTACTTCAGAAACGCAGCACTTTCCAAAACAGGCCAAAAAAAAAAAAAAAAACAGGCGCGGCAAACCTCAGAACTCCATAAAGAGCTATGGGATTCCAAAACTGCATGGCAGGAGTCAGAAGTGGTGGTAACTCTCAAGATGCTCAAAAGCACTGCTGAAACGGCTTTCTGGCAGCTGCTTTGAGTGCGGAAAGGGGGCACATTTGGGTAGGTTTTCCACTTTCACTTTATTTTAGGAAGGATATATTGAAGCTTTGCAAACACTGCCTCATTCATTGCTCAATGCTCAGTTATGACACTAGATGGCAGAGCTGAAGCATTCATTCTTTACTCGCCCTGCCAAATAGCTGCACTAGTAATATTTCAATATCTTATTATTATTATACAGGATTTATATAATATTATTATACAGGATTTATATATTATTATTATACAGGATTTATATAATATTATTATACAGGATTTATATATTATTATTATACAGGATTTATATAATATTATTATTATACAGGATTTATATATTATTATTATACAGGATTTATATATTATTATTATTATTATACAGGATTTATATAGTGCCAACAGTTTGCTCAGCGCTTTACAATATAATGGGAGACAATACAGCAACAATACAGTTCAATACAAGAGGGATAGAAGGGCCCTGATCCTGGGAGCTTACAATCTAAGAGTGAAGCCTAAAATCAAAATGAACACAGAAAACACATTTTGATACAGTCGCATTTTTAGCCGATCAGCTGTTTACCTTAGCACTTGCATTCAGTTACAGGACACCTAGGTAAATGTTTTGGAAAATGAATTTCAAACGTATTGCGCTCAGGTGCTGTGATCAGGTTCATGGCCATACACAGACATGTCACCCTGACTGCAAGGGATGACAGATACTCACAGCTCTCACTCGTTTCAGCCGCTCCTCCAACTTCTGTTCCGCTTCACGGTCTCTCAGAACTCCCTCCAAGCGACTTATTAGCTCAGCAGCAAATTTTTCAGGATCAACATGAATATCCTTTGGCATGTGATATGTACGCTGGAGGGGGACAAACAGTATAAGGCAGTGTGAAATTTTTTTTTTTTTTTGGTTAACACAGGCACTAAGCTTACTAATGAAAGCAAAAAAACATTTACGCCAATCCCATATCATCATCTTTCACTGATCTGGCCACAGTAAACGAAGATCTCTGGGGCATATAGAAGACACTACAGAGGATTTCAGGCAGTAACATTTTGAGACATCATTTACCTGAAAGAAATATCTGGTGTGACTTTTTACATGCTACTGTTTCATATACAGACTTGAAGATACTCCATCCATTAGATCAGTGGTTCTCAACCTTCCTAATGCCGCAACCCTTTAATACAGTTCCTCATGTTGTGGTGACCCCCAACCATAAAATTATTTATTTATTACTTCATAACTGTAATTTTGCAGTGGGGGGAATAGTGCCCCATCGTTGGTGTCAGTGGGGGGAGGAATAGTGCCCCATCGTTGGTGTCAGTGGGGGGAGGAATAGTGCCCCATCGTTGGTGTCAGTGGGGGGAGGAATAGTGCCCCATCGTTGGTGTCAGTGGGGGGAGGAATAGTGCCCCATCGTTGGTGTCAGTGGGGGGAGGAATAGTGCCCCATCGTTGGTGTCAGTGGGGGGAGGAATAGTGCCCCATCGTTGGTGTCAGTGGGGGGAGGAATAGTGCCCCATCGTTGGTGTCAGTGGGGGGAGGAATAGTGCCCCATCGTTGGTGTCAGTGGGGGGAGGAATAGTGCCCCATCGTTGGTGTCAGTGGGGGGAGGAATAGTGCCCCATCGTTGGTGTCAGTGGGGGGGAGGAATAGTGCCCCATCGTTGGTGTCAGTGGGGGGGGAGGAATAGTGCCCCATCGTTGGTGTCAGTGTGGGGGGAGGAATAGTGCCCCATCGTTGGTGTCAGTGTGGGGAGGAATAGTGCCCCATCGTTGGTGTCAGTGTGGGGAGGAATAGTGCCCCATCGTTGGTGTCAGTGTGGGGAGGAATAGTGCCCCATCGTTGGTGTCAGTGTGGGGAGGAATAGTGCCCCATCGTTGGTGTCAGTGTGGGGAGGAATAGTGCCCCATCGTTGGTGTCAGTGTGGGGAGGAATAGTGCCCCATCGTTGGTGTCAGTGTGGGGAGGAATAGTGCCCCATCGTTGGTGTCAGTGTGGGGAGGAATAGTGCCCCATCGTTGGTGTCAGTGTGGGGAGGAATAGTGCCCCATCGTTGATGTCAGTGGGGGGGAGGAATAGTGCCTCATCGTTGGTGTATGTGTGGGAGGAATAGTGCCCCATCATTGGTGTCAGTGGGAGGAATAGTGCCCCATCGTTGGTGTCAGTGGGGGGAGGAATAGTGCCCCATCGTTGGTGTCAGTGGGGGGAGGAATAGTGCCCCATCGTTGGTGTCAGTGGGGGGAGGAATAGTGCCCCATCGTTGGTGTCAGTGGGGGGAGGAATAGTGCCCCATCGTTGGTGTCAGTGGGGGGAGGAATAGTGCCCCATCGTTGGTGTCAGTGGGGGGAGGAATAGTGCCCCATCGTTGGTGTCAGTGGGGGGAGGAATAGTGCCCCATCGTTGGTGTCAGTGGGGGGAGGAATAGTGCCCCATCGTTGGTGTCAGTGGGGGGGAGGAATAGTGCCCCATCGTTGGTGTCAGTGTGGGGAGGAATAGTGCCCCATCGTTGGTGTCAGTGTGGGGAGGAATAGTGCCCCATCATTGGTGTCAGTGGGAGGAATAGTGCCCCATCATTGGTGTCAGTGGGAGGAATAGTGTCCCATCATTGGTGTCAGTGGGGGGAGGAATAGTGCCCCATCATTGGTGTCAGTGGGGGGAGGAATAGTGCCCCATCATTGGTGTCAGTGGGGGGAGGAATAGTGCCCCATCATTGGTGTCAGTGGGGGGAGGAATAGTGCCCCATCATTGGTGTCAGTGGGGGGGAGGAATAGTGCCCCATCGTTGGTGTCAGTGGGGGGGAGGAATAGTGCCCCATCGTTGGTGTCAGTGGGGGGGGAGGAATAGTGCCCCATCGTTGGTGTCAGTGGGGGGGAGGAATAGTGCCCCATCGTTGGTGTCAGTGGGGGGGAGGAATAGTGCCCCATCGTTGGTGTCAGTGGGGGGGGGGGGGAATAGTGCCCCATCGTTGGTGTCAGTGGGGGGGGGGAATAGTGCCCCATCGTTGGTGTCAGTGGGGGGGGGAATAGTGCCCCATCGTTGGTGTCAGTGGGGGGGGGGGGAATAGTGCCCCATTTCGTTGGTGTCAGTGGGGGGGAGGAATAGTGCCTCATCGTTGGTGTATGTGTGGGAGGAATAGTGCCCCATCATTGGTGTCAGTGGGAGGAATAGTGCCTCATCATTGGTGTCAGTGGGAGGAATAGTGCCTCATCATTGGTGTCAGTGGGAGGAATAGTGTCCCATCATTGGTGTCAGTGGAAGGAATAGTGCCCCATCATTGGTATCAGTGGGAGGAATAGTGCCCCATCATTGGTATCAGTGGGAGGAATAGTGCCCCATCATTGGTGTCAGTGGGAGGAATAGTGCCCCATCACTGGTATTACTGACGCCAATGATGGAGCACTATTCCTCCCACTGACACCAATGATACTTACCTTGCTGACCCCTGCTCCAGCTTGGGCTTGCCTTCTTCCTCTCCCATCTACAGCCAGCATACCTGGCTGCAGCAGCAAAATTTGCACGGTACAGACACTTACCGATGAGCTGTCTTCCTTCTCTGGCCGCTCTCCTCTTCACTCGCTCCGGCAGCTCCCTCACTCAATCTTCTTTGATCTACGTGCTGCCGCTCGGCTCCTCCTCTCCAAGCTCCACCTCTTTGCCGGTGATTGGCCACCTGTGTGCCTCTCCTGAGCTACAGTTCCGGTGGGCAATCACCGGCGAGGAGGCGGAGCTGTTGAGTGATCCCAGAGGTGTGGCCAGGTGACAGGGGCAGCATGTCATCCCGCCCACACATCGCCTGAGACGGATAGAGGAGCGGCGGTGTCTCGGTTCCTAAGACCATCGGAAATATGTGTTTTCTGATGGTCTTAGGCGACCCCTGTGAAATGGTCGTTCGACCCCCAAAGGAGTCGCGACCCACAGGTTGAGAACCGCTGCATTAAATGAAGCTCTGGCTGGTATAAAGCAGAATGTTCTAGCAGGCAACTGATGGGATTTGCTGAAGACAGCCTGTGCTGTACAGCTAGTCTAAGCAGACTGACAGACTTGTATTAAATGAAAAAAAAAAAAAAAAAAAAAAAAAAAAAAACCCAAATCACTCTGCCTTAATGTTAAGCAGAAAATAGAGTCATCTTTGAACTAACATACACTAATAAACAAAGTTAAAGAGGAGCTCTACCCAAAAGGGGAAGTTCCACTTTAAGCCTTTGTCCCCCACTGCCCATTAAGGATTGGCACCTTTGGGGAGCGGGTACCCAAATTTGACAGGTACCCACTCCCGCTGCGATCGCCTAGGCGATTGGAAGCGGAAGTTGGCCCCCCCCCCCCCCCCCCCGTAGACTTCTGGGACACGTGACAGGTCCCAGAAGACTACGGGGCCATTCACAAAGCGTAGCGCTTCTCGCACATGCGCAGTGGGCACCCGGCTGTGAAGACAAAAGCTGTCACAGCTGGGTGCCCACACTGAAGATGCCAGCGCCAGGGAGAGAAGACAGCCGGTGAAACCAGCCATGGTGAGGACACTGCTGGACCGAGGGACAGGTAAGTGGCTGTATTTTAAAAGTCAGCAGCTACAGTTTTTGTAGCTGCTGACTTTTTTTTTCAGGTGGAACTCCGCTTTAAAGTGTATGTAAACCCAAAACTAAAAACTCTAATATATTGTAGCTTACCAGTCATTAGATGTGGTAGCTGCATTGGTTTTTTCAAATGTTTTCCCCCCTTTACTTTCACCTGGTGATCCTGCCTACAATGTTCACTCACTGTGCTGTATTTACTAAGGGGCAGTGTTGTCACCCTAGGCTGCTCTCCTGATTTGAACTACAAATGCTTCCCCCTCTCCTCAACTCCATTACAAAGGGAAAGTACTGACAAACCCCAAGTTCCTCTTTAACCACCTCAATACTGGGAACTTTCACCCCCTTCCTGCCCAGGCCAATTTTCAGCTTTCAGAGCTGCCACACTCTGAATGACAATTTTGCGGTCATGCAACACTGTACTGTAATTGTTATTTTTTTCAGACAAAGCTTTCTTTTGGTGGTATTTAATCACCACTGAGTATTTTTATGTTTTGCTAAATACCAAACATTTTGAAAAAAAGACAAAACCTTTTTCTTCATTTCTGTTCTAAAATTGCAAATGCAATGAAGTAATTTTTCTTCTTCACTGATGTGCATTGATGGGTACAAATTGGTAATCGGGGCACTATGATCAGTGTCCTGATTAGTGTAAGGCGCTGTCAGGGTTGCCAGTTATTGGCTTTCCTTTCCTCATACAGTGACAGCACTGAAGAAAGGAGAAGCTGATAACCGGCTATCTGTGATTGGACACAGCTGTTCACATGGTACAGGGTTGCTGTGATCGGCCCTTAACAGCGACCTGTGATAGTCTAAAGCACACATCGGTCACAGAGCGCGCCCAATGAGCACGCGAGGCGCATTGTGGGATGGCGTCTATAAACACCCTCCCAGAACGAGAGAACCACATTAAAGTGGTCTTTCGGCTACAGCATGGTAATGAGGAGGAGGTTAATAAAACTGTAATGGACCTCCGATGTCTTCCCCCGGAGAACGAAACTAAGTGCACAGGGTCCTTGGTCTTTTCCCCCCATTGTACTGCACTGAACCCTTCTAAATTCACACTGTGTGTGGTGATCTTGTTTTACTGCATTGCAAAACACCAGTCACTGCAAGGATACACACAAACAATTGTTTTCTAGGTGTTCCGGAGCTGCGATGACATGCAGACATGCTACATTGTATCGCAGTGCACCATACAGGATCATGTCACTGTACAGCAGTGCAGCAAACCGCGCTGCTGTACAGTGACACGAAGTGTACATTAGTACACTTCAAATAAAGTT